CCGACCCGCCGTCGCCGGCATTGTTGACGATAGCGGATTTCTAGGGTTAGGGTTTGGGAACAATTCGGGAGGAGGAAATTTGAGGGACGAAGATTAGAGTGACGAAGATTTAAAAGGGGGGTTTCTTGGGTTTGGAAGCCTCCAGAATGCGCGGTTTGGTTCTCGAATGAGGACGTTTTGCTTTCACGTCCCTGTATAAAATTGAGATTTGCGTCGTGTGGTGTTTTATTTCGTTACTGGGAAATACAGGCCCATGGGCCTCAGTTCAAAGCCGATGCGAGGAAAACTTAAAGTGGGTCACGCCTAGGCCTTTTGGACAAAATGACCAACCCCCAGTGGGCTTATTAAGCCCGATAGAATAAATTACAGAAACAACGAGTTAACAGGATCGTCTTTTGTACAGAGTGAGAAGAGAAACAGAAAAACATGGATCCGTACATCTTCAGCCAGAGTGATTAATTTTTGAAGGTGAACTATATTAAGCGATCAACTAAAAATAGTAAGAGCTGTAGAAATAAAATACTACGTATTGGACGATTTGTGTACCTTATTCCATGAGCATATACATGTAAGCATTTGCTAATGAGACGCTAATTGTTAATTACACGTGATCATATGGAATTTTATTGATCGAGTATATGTAGTGCTAATTCCATACGCACATCTTACTGGTCGTTTTGATTATTGATCGGGTAGACCAGTAGGTTTCAGAAAATACGATGCGAATTTCCCTTAGACGGAGAAATTAAATCGACACTTGCATCGCAAAGTTTCTGTCACTATGTGGAAACTTTGTTACAATTTAGAGTCAAAACTATGTTACAATTTAGAGCTTTAATTTGAAAGTAGGCCGAGGTTAGCTTGCTGAATTCCTACCCAATTTATTTGGTTGATGATATTGATACGTTTTCTTGCGCACCTATGAATAATTGTTACCATATTAAATTTCCATCGGTTCTCACAGTGACACGCTTGAGGAAGCGTGCAATTTGATATCCATATCCCATGCCCATGTGACATTTCTTGTTCTCATGTTGCGTTTGTTGTAGGATATGACATCCAAACCAAAAATACAAACTGCATTGAATTGAAGAGAATGTATTGATATACAAACTAATGCAATGAATTTGAAGGGAATATATCAAGACTGGTGCATATTGTTACCTTTTTGCATCCGATAAGCAAAAAATGATTATGGAGATGAAATCATGTTAGAGAAAATTGTTTCCCATTTGTTTAAATAACGTTTGATTTCTCGCTCTCCCCCGTGTCCCGCGGGGGTTGTTCACTAGTAATTAAAAAAAAAAGTGCAAACTCACCTTTAATTTTTTTTTTCCCTGCATAGTTTAAGATTTCAATTTTTGATGCCTCTTGATCAATCTTAAATCCAGTCCAAATTTAAAACTACCAAATCTCCATAATAATAGAAAAATTACTAATTCATCAATTCTACAAGCAGTTTGTTCACTTTGTGCGTCAAGATGAGACTGTCAAAATAGTAGAACAGAAACTTCTTTTAGTCCAAAATAATAAAAAAAAGAGAAAACACAAATGATTTTTTTTATTTTAAATCCACTCTTCTGACCTCATTTGTCTTTAAACCCGCACATTTCCAGAATCATTCATACGCTCAGAACACCAATTTGATTCATTAGAAAACACCAATTTGGTCGTCTGATCTGGTCGGTTGCAATTGGCACAACAAGCTAATTTTGTTCTCAAATAAATATTTTTTTTTTGCTGCTAATCTAGTGATTAAATCGTCAATTACAAAAAACATCAATTAATTTAAGACCTACAGTACTAAAGAAATAAATAAGAAAAAGATGGGACGATCCACACATTCAGGATTCAAACAGCAGCGAAGGACTTACCGATCTATAATAATAATAATAAACCTAGATGCACAGAATATGCATCAATAATGTTAATAAACTAACTTAATAAGCTCCTCTCTTAAAGAAACTTTGAATTAATCAATAATACAAACAGGTCGTTAAGAATACAACCAAAGAAACCGCCAAAAAAAATAAAGCAAACAATCGAGAAGATCTAGCAACTTATCCATCAGGTCTACAAATTCTTCCAAACAAATCAAACATCCAGTGAAGAAACCGCCAAAAAATCAAAAGATCTACCATTCAAAACACAGATTAACCAATTTTAATAAAAAAAAAAAAATGAAGGAAAGGTAAGAAAAAAAAAAGAGGACGATAATTTGTTGTTGACGAATGGGATGCTCTGTGATATCACCTACAAAAGGAAGTGTCGCGCGCCTTTGCGGAAGCCTTGCACGAACTCACAACGAACCTGTGATCACGAGTAGAAGAAAGACAAACTCTTGCACAAATCCAACCAATAAAGCCAAATCAATCCAAACACAGAGATATACGTGGTTCGGCAATTTGCCTACGTCCACGGGGAGAGGATGGGGAGATTTCACTAAATCAAGGAGAGTACAAAGGGTTACAATCACACAAATTCTCTCAAACTAACCCTCAACCAAAGATCTCACCTTGCTCACAATATCTCCCTCTCACAATGCTCAAAAGATTCCTTAATCTCTGATATTCAACCCTCTCAAATCGTTTCCCTATTTATACCAAAACAAAACCCCAATTAGACTGCAAATAGGAAACCTGCGTATGCAAAAAACCCGCTATAAGTCGACTTAACAGAGGGCGTAAGTCGACTTGGCAGAGGAAAAAACAGCAACAGGAGAGGACTTCATAAGTCGACTTAACAGACATTATAAGTCGACTTGGCAGAGGAAAAAATCACAACTCCGCTGCAGATCGTAAGTCGACTCGTGCACACTAATGAGTCGACTTACCATAAGTCGACTTAGCCTTGTGCATGAGTCGACTTATGCCAGTTTTTCTGGTTTTCTGGTTTTTCTGATTCTTTTCCTGATTTCTCCACAATTCTCCACCTCGGCGAATTTTGCCAAAAATGAGCCGACACCAAACCAAGAGCATCAATGTGTCGTCTCTCCAAATACGGCTGCACCACCATGGTTGCCTACGTACCCCCTCTCCCAAGGGATCAAGCCGCCCGTAGTTCATCCAAATGGCCGTCAACGGCCTCAACAATCACAAATATTCAACAAGTTTCTGCAATGATCAAACTTGTTGCTTGGAACCACCTTCGTGAGCATATCCGCCGGATTATCCTTCGTATGGACCTTCACAATCTCCACATCGCCATCTTCAAGAACATCTCGAACGAAGTGATAACGAACGTCAATGTGCTTCGTCCTCGCATGAAAAACCTGATTCTTCGCCAAATATATAGCACTCATGCTATCACAATGAATAGTGACGGATCGCTGCGATATACCAAGTTCTTCCAGAAGTCCTCGAAGCCAAATAGCCTCCTTCACAGCCTCCGTAACTGCCATATACTCTGCCTCCGTCGTAGACAAAGCCACCGTCGACTGTAAGGTGCATCTCCAACACACCGGCGCACGGGTCAAGGTGAACACATACCCCGTCGTAGACCGGCGCTTATCCAAATCCCCGGCATAATCCGAATCAACATAGCCAATGCATAACTGCCCACCTGTAGTGTCCCGCTCATAAACCAAACCAACATTGAGCGTACCTAGAATGTACCTCAAAATCCATCTCACGGCATCCCAATGACCCACTCCTGGATCGTGCATGTATCTCGACACCATGCTCACTGCCTGTGACAAATCCGGCCTCGTACATACCATCGCGTACATCAAGCTCCCAACTGCGCTCGCATATGGAGTCTTCGACATCAACTCACGGTCTTCAACTGACTTCGGTGAAAGGTCAGCTGAAAGCTTCAAATGGGCTCCCAACGGTACACTAACTGGCTTCGTATCCATGCTAACATGGAATCGCTGTAGAACCTTCTTCAAATAAGCCACCTGTGTCAAACAAATTCTGCCCTTCTTCTTGTCTCTGCCGATCTCCATCCCTAAAATGCGCTTCGCCTCGCCCAAGTCCTTCATCTCAAACTCATTCGAAAGCTGAATCTTCAACTCATCTATAGCTGACCTGGAACTTGAAGCAACCAACATGTCATCGACATAAAGCAATAAATAAATGTACGCACCTCCTCTCAACTTGCGAAAATACACGCAAGGATCAAACTGGCTCCGAGTGTACGAATGACCAAGCATAAAACCATCAAATCGCCTATACCACTGTCGAGGAGACTGCTTCAAACCGTATAGCGATTTCTTTAGCCTGCAAACCAACTTATCTTTCCCTGCAGCTCGGAATCCCAATGGCTGAGTCATATATATTTCTTCATCAAGATCACCATGAAGAAATGCTGTCTTCACATCCAACTGATCTAACTCCAATCCATACTGTGCCACCAAAGCTAGCAAAATCCGAATCGACGAATGCTTCACCACCGGAGAGAAAACCTCATTGTAATCAATACCTTCCTCCTGTGCATAGCCCTTCGCAACCAACCTAGCCTTGAACCTCACTGGAGTGCCCTCAATGCCCTCCTTCTTCGTGTACACCCACTTGCACCCAATCGCCTTCCGCCCCTTTGGAAGCTCTACAAGCTTCCATGTATCGTTCTTGTGAAGAGACTCCATCTCCTCCTGCATAGCCACCTGCCACGAATCAGCCTCCGAACTCTGCTCGGCCTCTCTGAATGTAGTAGGCACCATCTCATCGATACTCTCCACCGGAAGTGCATATGCAACTGTGTCGGCATACCGTGCTGGCACCCGTATGTCTCTCCTCTGTCTCCGTGCCGCAATAGAATCCTGAACCTGAGCCGTCGGTCCCTGATCCTGCTCATGAGTACCCGTATCCTCCGCATCACCGTCGTGCTCGCCTGGCGTCACCTCAGTCGGCACTCTCATGGATACTGCACTATCTGGACTCTGTGGAGCTGCATCAATCTCCACCACCTGCGAAATCTCCTCTGTCGGGTTGCTCTCCACCTGATGAGAGCTGGGAAGCTTCAAGATAGAAGCCTCATCGAATGTGACGTCCCTACTCAGCACAATCTTCTTATCAACTGGATCCCAAAGCTTGTATCCCTTGACACCACGCTTGAATCCTACAAATATGGCCTTCCTAGCTCGAGGTTCCAACTTATCAGTTCTAACATGATAATATGCAGGGCAACCAAATACCTTAAGCTGGTCATAGTCATGTGCTGTCTCTCCCGACCACATCTCCATAGGGGTCTTCCCCTCAATCGCAGATGAAGGCAGCCTGTTAATGAGGTGGCTCGCATAAGAAAGTGCCTCAGCCCAAAAGATCTTCTCCAAACCACTATGCGCCAATAAACATCGAATCTTCTCCAGCAAAGACCGATTCAATCTCTCCGCCACCCCATTCTGCTGCGGTGTATGACTAACTGTGAAGTGCCTCTCTATGCCCTCGTCTCGACATAGCTGCAGAAAGGGGTCTGAGGTATACTCGCCGCCGTTGTCGGATCGCAACGTCTTGATCTTTCTCCCAGTCTGCAGTTCCAATCTCTTCTTCCACTCCACAAACAAATCTAGGACTTCACTCTTATGCTTCATGGTGTACACCCAACATCGCCTAGAATAGTCATCAACGAACGTGACGAACCAATGTCGACCACCAAGTGATGCCGTCTTAGTGGGACCCCAAACATCTGTGTGCACGTAGTCCAAGATGCCCCTCGTCCTATGAATGGCCGTCCCGAACTTCACCTTCGTCTTCTTGCCAAGTACACAGTGCTCACAGAATTCTACTTTACCACTCTTGGCTCCCTTCAAAAGCCCCTGCTTGCACAATGCCTGCAGTGACTTTTCACCTGTATGCCCTAGCCTGTAGTGCCAAAGTCTGCTCATGTCCGCCTCTGAAATCGCCGAAGCAACCTGGCCAATCTCGGTGCTCCCCTTCAGATAATATAAATTATGATTTCGGACTCCCTTCATCACCACCAAAGATCCCTTAGTAACCTTTGCTACAGCATCCTCAAAGGTCACCCTGAATCCCTTCGCCTCCAAAGCCCCCACTGAGATAAGATTCTTCTTAAGTTGAGGAACGAATCTCACCTCCTTCAGCTCACGGACTACTCCATCGTGCATCCGAATCCTCACAGTACCTATCCCACGAACGCCACAGGATTGATCATTTCCCATGACCACAACACCCCCATCGAGTCTCTCAAATGATGAGAACCAATCTCGCCTAGGAGTCACATGATAAGTAGCGCCAGAATCAAGCATCCACTCCGATGCATCCAAATGGTTCACCTCCGGAGTAATCAAAAGAGAAAAGCTCGAATCATCGGAATCATCGCCTTTCGCAACATTCACCTCATTGGCCTTCGGGCCCTTATTCTTGCTATTCTCCTTTTCTTTGACTTTCGGGCAATCTCTTTTCCAATGTCCCTGCTCCTTGCAGAATGCACATTGATTCTTTCCAAGCTGGTGACGACCTCTTGACTTTGACCTCCCTCTGTTTCCACCTTTCTGATATGAGCTTCTACCTCTCGCCGACAAGGCCTCTCCTGAAGTACTAGCGCGGGAAGTCTCCTTATCCTTCCTCCTCAAATCATAGTTCGTCAATGCGTTAGTCACTTCACTATAAGTGATAGAAGATCTCCCGTTCAGCAACGTAAGCACGAAGGTATCATACTCCTCATCCGGTAAGGAGCCCAAAAGAATAATAGCCTTGTACTCATCTGTGATCTTCTCATCCACGTTCGCCAAGTCCGACAACAACTTAGTGTAGTTGTTCACATGAGCCGCAAGCGAGGTACCTCTGGACATCTGGAATCTGAATAACCTTCGCAGCAAGTGCAACCGGTTCTCAACACTCTTCGTAAGGTACTTATTGTTGAGAATTTCCCACATCTTCATCGCAGACGTCACCCCAATCACATCGTATTTCAGCTCCTGTTCCAAACAGGACCTGATCACCCAATTAGACTGCAAATAGGAAACCTGCGTATGCAAAAAACCCGCTATAAGTCGACTTAACAGAGGGCGTAAGTCGACTTGGCAGAGGAAAAAACAGCAACAGGAGAGGACTTCATAAGTCGACTTAACAGACATTATAAGTCGACTTGGCAGAGGAAAAAATCACAACTCCGCTGCAGATCGTAAGTCGACTCGTGCACACTAATGAGTCGACTTACCATAAGTCGACTTAGCCTTGTGCATGAGTCGACTTATGCCAGTTTTTCTGGTTTTCTGGTTTTTCTGATTCTTTTCCTGATTTCTCCACAGGAAGTATAGAAGGAGTCTACCTCAATAGAAAGAGAATATTCTTCTAAAGAGCATTAAAAGAAAATTTAGTTCCAACTGTAGAGATTATGAAATAACCTAAGAATTACGGGACGTAATGATGATTTCAATGGTTTTAGGGACAAAATCAAAATAGCTTCACATTTGAGGGACCTAATTAAAAGCAATTCCAAATATTTGACGGGCTAAATTTTAAAATACAAAAGATTTAAGGGACTAACATTGAAAAAATATTAAGTACAAAAGAGGGGCATAAGAAAAATGTTTTCTGATAACCCCTAAACTTAAGGAATGGACTACGTTGGCTGTGCAGTAGCTTTCTCAGTGTTACAATTCCTACAGTTAAACTTCATTCCATATTCTGCACTGATGGTTTTCTTGCATTTATTACGTGACACATACCAAAACTTTTGTTCCAAGTTCGCTATTGATGCAAATCCCTTTTATCCAGAAAATTGTTCCCTGCATGGATGCAAATTCGCCGATAGCTAGGAGAATCAGAATGTTAGAA